AGGAAAAGTAACTTTCGTTATCATGGAATTATAACAAAACCTGCCAATTCAATATAAATGGAAAAAAAATATTATATGGAATTGAACGAAAATGAAAATTTGCTTGATAATTCAACTACGCTTGTTGGAGAACAATAAAAACACTACACTCAACAAGCCACCAATAAAACTCAACTGCCTAACCTATAACCAAAGTCTCCTTTTAATTTGTTTTAAAAAAAAAGCGCTTGACAAACTTGCCCCGCATGCCGAAGTTGCCCCGGTCTCCCCTATAACAATGTCTGAAATGTTATCAATTTAATACACCTAAGTACTTAATGGAGACTAAAAGCGGGAAAAAATTTTTGAAAAATTTGGAGACATCCAAAAAATCCAAAAAAAAACTTTTAGAGGGCCCAAAGGACCGAGTTTTATGTAACGGTATGGAACTTGCCCGAGTTTTCTCGGGTTATCTCTGCAATCGATTTTATGTTTAATTAGCTTATCTTCAAAATAGAAATACATTAAGCATCTTTCAGATAAATAAATCTTTCTTTCAAGTTTTGTGATTTGTGATCTGACTAATCTAGATAGATTCTTTATCAAACACTAATGTGATTTTTCTTCATTTTTTTTATATATAACAGATTTACATGCTTTTTTTAGTTTATTTTATGTTATTCTTAGAGGATACACTTCATTCTTCTCTTCATCATCATAACTATAAACATTCACTGATATATTCAATTTTTTTTTCATATTTCCTTTAAAGCGATAGGTGATTCGATTTCTTTAAGTGCTTCTTTAATTAACTTGATATTGTAATTACTAACTCGACCTGGATTGTGATTTCTACTACCTCCTGGATTTAAATTTGCAGCAATGCAATAAGCAAAATATTCTTCATCTTCATTCTTAATATTCAATACAGCTTTCTTAGCTTGGATTTCTTTAAATAATTCAATATAGGATGATTCTCTAAATGAAACATATTTATTGATTCTTAGCTCTAAATTACATGCGTATTTATTTCTATTAAAGTCCATCCAGATCCAGATCCTTTTGCTTCAAATTCATCCATCGCTCTTATTAGTTTATCAATCACATTATCATAATAAGTATTCAAATCTTTTGTTTTTAAAATAATCTTATTCTCAGTTTTAAATGAAAAGCCCATGTTTTCATTTTCTCTTTGATACTCACTGAAAAATTTGAAATTTACTTTCAAGTCCATTTTTTTCAGTATCTCTGATATCTTTCCAATAACTATCTCTCTCACATCTTCTAAAAGTTCTCTTGGTATGATAAAACCATTTACATTTTTTATTGAATACGTTTTTAATCTTGATTTGAATGCTGTCTCAATCTCTCGGATAGCTTCACAATTGTATAAGGCTTCTTATGTTCTCTCTTTTCAAGATGGAGATTCTTATAGGTTGGTTTATAGTAATGATCACAGACGTCACATTTTATTTGCTTTTCTCTTTCTTTTCTTGGTTTTGTTATAACATCCTCAAGAAAGTTAAATATTTTACTAAATTTATATCTCTCTATAAAATTAATTAAGTCTGCTTTCCTTAAAAGATTTCCAAAAGATGCAAATTGATAATTTAGAGATGCAACTAACAGATTTTCAAAATAGCATTTGGACTCGCGTGTTTCTCGACTTATGATCGAAACTTAAAAATCTGGAACGAAATCGTTTGAATAATGAAGATGAGTGCAACTACGAACAAGAAATTTTGAGTGCATGGAACAGAATACCTGACACTTTTAGCGATATAAAAAATCTAGCAATTGCTTTGCTAACCATTTTTTCATCAATATATTTTTGTGAGACTTTATTCTCAGCATTAAATAATACTAAAACGAACAAAACAAACCGGCTAACAGATGAAATTAGTGGCGCTTGCTTAGACTTGAAGTGCACCAAGTATAAACCAAACCTGCAATAGAAGAATTAGCAGACAAACTTCAGTACCAAAAAAGTCACTAATTTCTATTTTTTCTACAATTTCTAGTTTTTGTACTATTTATTTATCATTATTTTTTTCCTAAGTGTGCTTTGTTTTTGTTTATTTTATACATGGCATTTAGTTGATTTTTCTTTGTTAACTTGCATTTAAATATATAAAATAAATAGCAAAAAAATAAATATTTTTTTTACTATAGTTACAAATATCAAAAAATTATAAATATTTTTAGATGACACAGAACCAGATTTAAGTTAGGATTTTTCAAAATTTTGACACGCTGAACTCAAAAGGTTCGCCATCACTGGTCTATATGAACCTTTTTTATTTTCTATAAACTAAATTTTATGGTAACCTTANGAGTTATATATATATATTTTATATGTAGTTCAGACCCGTGTTCGGGTTAACACCCTAACACTTGTCTTGTGGCTGGGGTGTGGTGATATCGGACCCTCTCACCCCCCCTCTCTGGCGGTTTCATAGGGGCGGATGCGATCCATCCATCGACACACGCTAACGAGGGACCGTTAAGACCGGGAAAGAAACGCGGGAAGAAGGAATTTTTGAGAGAGAAATTTGGGACACGACAGGGAGAGGGAGTGTGAAGTAGCAGTTCCTGAGAGTGAAATAAAGTTTTTTTTTTGTGGAAATATTGGACTGGTTAATTGGTGAGACGAACAGACGGGGCAGAATCCACTGATTAAGAACGTGTTCCATACAAGATTTATCAACCCAACTATTAAATGAATCCGGATATCCGAACCACTTAAATAAATATGTATTTCCTTTCTGTTTAATTATTTTTTCTATCTTATAAACTTTATCCTTTTTATCATATTTCACTAACTCATTTTCATAAAAAGTTCCTTTAGTATTTTCATCATTTAAATCTTTAATTCGATAGGTAATTGAATCCGTTTTCAACACTTTTGATATTACAAATATTTCTTCTGTGAAGGAGGGTAAATATTCTTTTCTAAACTGAGTTGTGTATTTATTTATTTTTATCTTATTGCCTACTTTATATTTTGGAGGTTCAGATATAATTTTCCTTTTAAATAGATTATTATAAACTGTTGATTCATTCTCTTTTTTACTGCTTTTGTAGGCGTCATTTTGATCAATCTGTGATAAGAGTTATTATAATTTTTAATTAATTTATCTAAAACATCTATCCATTTTCTAGTGTTGTTAGCAGTAAAATATTTCCACATTTTTGTCTTTAGAGTTTTTATTAAATCTTTTGACTACTGAGCATTTT